CTGACTAGACCATTTTAATGCAATATTGTTTGAAGTTAATGGTCAGCCATGTTTTACCTCCTAGCTGTAAACATTTTATTTGAAGTCATATCATGAATTATCTTCCTGCACTAATGAAATGGATCATTTACATAAAAATCAGAAAACCTCCAAGTCCCATATGCCTTTGAGTCTCTAGAGATAAGGATTTGACCTTCGTGACAGCCTATTAAAATATGGCAAGGTGAAGGAGGGAGGATGTTATTATTCCTTGTTTGGAGAATTTCCAGTGGCTACCATGCTTCATGCCAGTGCCAGTCTACTCTTAAATCGCTGTATTTAAAAATGAAACATAACTTACGTTTTTTACACATAGACAGAGCTTTTAACTATCCAGAGCTTACCTCAGACCACCCGTTTTTGTCACAGAGACTCCTTATTTATAATCCGCTTTAGTTTCTTCTTCCCCTGTGTCACTGACCCCATGGATTTCTTTGGAGCTGCTGCGATCTGTCATGTCATTGCTCATTATCAGATAGTCTTAATCCTCAGAGCATTGAAATATTTTATAATGGCACATAAGCCACCATAGAGCCTGGCAGCCTCAGCCTTCGTCACATTAAATTACAGCTTGGATTGTCTTTTATGTGCTGACGGTGGAGATCCAACTGCTCTCATCCCCCTCCTGGGTCAGGACCCTTTCTGAGTAGCAGATGTGGCACTTCTGAGGTCCTCGCCCTGCCCTCTTCTTGAGCAATTTTTCGGTTGATATCTTGCCAATCAATTGCCTGGGTTCAACTGAGTAGAGCTTGAATGACCTCCTAATTTTTAGAAACCTTTTCTCCACCTATGATCAGCTTTTCCATTTGAACACCACCCTCCACCCCCCTTAGACAAGATGAAATGCTCTCAGGACATGATTAGCCACCCGTGATGTGCAGAATTTTTTAAAGGCTAGAGACTCCTTGGAAAAAAATGACTGAACTGCCTAATGTTTCTTGCTATATCCTAAAGAAAGGGTTTGTGTGTGTGTGTGTGTGTGTGTGTGTGTGTGTGTGTTTTCCATGACACTAATCATTCTTTAAAAACTGTCAAGTCAACATTTTATTAACCCCCTAGACTCAAAGGGTGGTAGACCCCAATTTTATTATCATGAGATGCATTTAAGATTAAGAGTGTTCCTCCTATACAGTTCTGAAAAATCGAAGGGGGTAGTTTGGCAAATATTCTATTGCATAAACACCAAAAAGAGAATTCCTTTTAAATTTTCTTGTCATTAATCTAACTGACAACTAATCCAATTATACTCACCCAATAATTATTTCCTTCTTTTTCAAGATATGAGTAGATTCCCCCATCTCCTGGGAAAATAATCTCAATTTTAAAATGATTCCTGAATTCAGATCTCACATTCAGATCTAACATATTGTGTTAGAATAATTGTCTCATGATTTTAAATCTTCCCAAGTTTACACTATAGGTTTTCTCTGCTATTCAGAAGAAGGTCAGTTATTTGGGGCTCTGGAAAAGCCCAATATTTCTTCCATGTATATTAATATCAGTATCATTCCCAGAGCAACCACCCCCTCTCCCAAATAACTCACCCAAACATAAAAAAATTGGCATTTCTGCATTCAGAGAGTAGGGAAAACCTTTTTCCTGATGATGTTTAGCACAGTGCCATTATCTTTATAGGTGTTTAGCAGATATTAATTTCATTTTGGCAGGAACACTATTTTTTTACTTAAAATAAGACCCAGAAAATTAAATTAAGCTCATGGATACTTAAAAAATATATATATATATATATCAGAGTTAATAACTTTAGAAAATATATGATAATATCTGTGGTGAGAATGAGATCAGCAAATATTGCTTATAATAGCTTTCTAGTTTATTTTTTGATTGCTTAAAATCTTATTTAAAAATAGCCCAGTCATACATTTTTCTCCCTATGATAAAAGAGCTTGTAAGGCTTTAATTACACGAAATCTAGTTCTAGTTGAAATGTCTTTACCTTTTCAGTTCTTTTGTGGCTGCCTCTCCTTTATGTCACTGAATAACACAATTATACATGAATGATTTCTGTACCTTAACCTTCTCCTATCTGTCTGTCATTGAAGTTCTATAACATAAAAGAGCAGAAGCTGCTGACTTTCAAGAAATTCGAACATGGAAACTAAAGATCAAAGAGCTGGTGAGAGGGATGTAAAATTTTTTTTAAAATGTTTTTATAGAATAGATAAGCTATGATGTATATTAATTTCAAAATTATGGGGTTCTGATGTATTTTATGTACACATTTTAAGAAGAAAAAATTATCATTAAATGTGTTCTAAATAATTCCCTCCATCACTACTTTTTCTTTAGTGAAGCCAGCAAAGGTTCCAGCTATCATTTCAGAATCTTTGCATTGGAAGAGATTTGGAGAAATTGTCTGCTTCTTCCTTTCATAATATTTTTTGTGGGTCCCTCCTAAGTTGTATTCATGAGGCCCGTGGACCCCACTGGCAATACTTGGCTAAGTGGGCCAAAAGGTCCAATGCAAGGGTTTGAGGGTGCAATGCTGCTCAACACTGGCTGCAGTGTCAGGGATTATCCGGATCACCCAAGTGGTACCAGTTTCTTCCCAGGTCTTCCAGGGTCTTCCATAGCACCGAGTGATGCTGGCATACTATGTGGTTCTGGGAATCATATTTACTCATCCTAGTGCTATACTATCTCCCTAGCATTTGCTTTAACTACTGAAGTATCTCCTAGCCCTTTTTAAAAGTATACATCACATACATCCATTTCAGAGACCCCTGTGTTCTTCCATCATAATATCTGTGGTAGGGAGATTATTTGAGCAGGGGTGGTAGAGCTAAGAAATAGGAAAAGGATCAAGTCCAAGGTCACAGCCTCTTTTAAGAGAGACCACTCACTCTTCTCTCTGGCTTGCCATTTGGACTGGGAGCCCCAATTCCCACAGTACCAAGGTACTACATAATCCTCACAGACTGGATGTACCTAAATAAACACCACCTTTCAGCAACCACCCTCTTCCCCTTCATTTAAACGCTCCAAGATAGAGGCAGCCTGACAGGGAAACCATGAGGGATGCTGAGCAGAGGACGAGGCATCAGGATAAGGTGCCAACATGCCTCTAGCGGGAGTCACTGTTCCTTCTGTCAGAGTTTCAGAGTAATGAAAACTGTCACGACAAACCCCACACTACTCACTGAACCATTCCACTTCACCTTTCTTTCCAGAAAGATTCAACAAGAGTGGCAGTGCCATCGGGGGGAGAAGGGAAAGAAAAGATTCTATCTACTTTTTTCCTTGCCACTAATTGAAAAAGAACTAAAGCATTGTAGAGCTCTTCTTCCCATGCCCTTCGTTTTATTTTCCCTCATGCTATAGCAGAATGACTGTCAAAGGCCTTAAGTTTGGCACATGGCATTGGGACTACTGGGTAAATCTAGCATTCCTTCAAAGACTCTTATTCCTCAGGTAGCCCCATTCTCTGAATTCCTCTTAAGAAATAGATTTTCTCTTAAGGCTAGAAAAAAAAATGAAGCTTTGAAATGGTAATTCTACTCACTCTATTTGTGCAGCGGCAATTTTGTAGCTCAGAGGACTTGTCAAAAGCATGATAATTACTAATACAAAATAGAAACCAACTCCAGATTATTAAGATGAGGAGGTGTAAAGCGTGCTGCTTTTGTCTTTTTGATATGCCTCCCTTGAGACTTGTGTGATTGGTAAGAACATTAGATGGATTATAAGGTTTTGATAAGTAGAATAAAGTCATGGTAGTCCACTTCCTTTAAGCAGCACCTAAAATGTTTAACAACATTTGATAAGGAAGTTGAAATTCTTAGAACAAGGGTATAGTGTGAAAACACCAAGGATTAATACGAATGAGGATGTTATATTTAGTATGTAAAAAGTCTTTCCCTTACGCCGTCCTTTGCCTTATTTTCCTCCTTTTTTCTATAAGATTTTCATGCTGGAAGGTGTTAGAGAGTCTTTGAATGATGGACGCACTGTATGAATAATCACCGTTATTAATGAGGTGGCCACATGCCAGCCACCTCTTCCCGCCTGTCCCTCTTTGCACCCTCTGTGCCACGTGTGTTGGCTGTGAACCTTTTCATGCTTTATACTTGACCACAAATTGCATTTTGTATGTGACTCCCTCCACAAAAGTCTGTTCTCATGAGCAGCCCATCCTCTCAGTGCCCTGCGCCCTGACTAGAGTTAATTCAGACGCAGAGTGACGTTTCTCCAACAGGCTCAATTTCTATTCCACTTTGCACTGGAGATCTTGGTTTTCTTTTTTCTTTCTTTCTTTTTTTTTTTTTGCATTTTTGGGAAGGTGTTGTTGTTGTTGTTGTTGTCGTTGTTGTTTTGTGTGGAGGGCACACCTTGTGATGCCCAGGGCTTACTCCTGGCTAGGATCTTGGGGATGGCTCCTGGCAGGGCTTGAAGGACCATAAGGGACATAGTACAAATCTGCCATACTGTTCTTCGCCCAAAAGTCTCTTGTCTTTCTTCCATGGTCACATGCACTGCATTCTTGACTCACCTCCTGGTGCATCTTCATCAAATCTGTCTGGATTTTACAGTGTTTATAAATACCTCCTTAGCTCTCACACACTTGAGTTCCGGCCAGTGATGTTATAGAATGATGGACCTACTCAGTGCTCCTTATCCCCACAGATAACCAGCTTTTATTCGTGCTTACTCTGAAGGTGTGTGACAAGATGCATAATATTAATTTACAAACAATGCTTTGTAAACTGTGATTGCAACCTCTTGCAATTTATGGCCTGGTTTCTGTGGAGGAAATGGGTTTGTTCACTCCACTAAAGAAAGGTGGAGGGCACTTCCCAGCACACAGTGAGCTGAGAGATAGTGATGAAGCTACAGTAGCATCTTGGGTCTCTCTTAAGAGAAAGTAAACAAAGTGACCCTAGCATTTCTGAAGGGATCACATTTCCCCCCTTATTTTACCTTCTCTACTTTTTTCTCTGCAGAGCTGCCCAGAAGTTGAACCTTTCTTCCAAGAAGAAGAAACATCGACCGTCCACGTCTTCCGTGGCTGAGCCACCTCTCTTTGCCACCAGCTTCAGTGGCATCCTGCAGGTGTCCCCACCTCCTGCCCCTCCATGTCTGCTGAGGGCAGTCAACAAGGTGAAGGACACACCTGGCCTAGGCAAGGTAGGCCTCCTTCTTCTGTCTGGATATGGGTTGCTGGGGCAGGCAGGGAGAGCTGTGGGAAAAGCAAAAAGGATACCCCAGATTTGTTTAGATTGTAAGGTGATAAGTGGAAGAGAACACAAAATGAAATTCAGTTGAAAGTACTGCAACATTTTCTTTGATTACATATATTAAATGGTAAATTAAGGTTTGCAAAGAGTAGAGATCTGATTTGATTGGGACGGGAGAAAACCCCAGACTGGCTTGCAGTGTTTGACTTAGCTGTCCCCGTTTTTAAGAAAAAGAACCCGATATCAAAAACAGAAAGCAAAATCTGGAAACCATGAGAGAGGAGAGGGTGCAAGGGTGGAAGGCAAAGAGGCTTTGTAAATGCACACACCATACCTTCATTCTTCCTTCCCTTTTCAAAGAAATCACTGCTTCTGCTTTTTTGTATAATTGTTTTGGGCTATACTTGGCGTGCTCAGGGCTTATTCCTAGTTCTGTGTTCAGAGATCAGTCCTGATGTGACTGGGGCGACTATATGGGGTTCCAGGGATCAAATCCAGGTTGGCTGTGTGTGTGGCAAGTGTCCTACCCTCTATATTATCTCTGTCCCCACTTCTGCTTTTGAACCAGATCATGATATGATTTCTGGGAAGCCTTTTCAGTCCTTCCAGCCCAGCCAAAAATGCAATTTGAACTGATACAAATTCCTAGCAGAAGATGTAAGAATGCTCTCACAAGATGTTCCACTTTATTTAGGATAACTTTGTTTTTAAATGTCATCGCTAAGTGCTGTCTTCTGAAAGAGAGCCTGTCTGGGTGAAGCCCTACCTTAGGGCTTACTCCTCAATTGGTGAATAATCTGGGACTTACAGGAATGCTGACTCAAGGCACAAGATGGTTCTTGCCTTTCTTTGACTTGCAGTGGAAGTAGGTCCTCACAACCTTGCCTGTCCGGTGCAGTGAACCTTCCTCCTGGGCAGTTCTCTCCTTTCCAGAGGGAGAAATGATAAGCTGTACAGACCATGCATTTCCTTAGTGAAGACTCAGCTTCCCTTTACCCTCTGCAGTCAGAAGCAATTCTTGCCAGGTTCATTTTCTTAGTGGTTTCGACCTAACCAGTACATGTCCCTTTGGAATTGGCCCTTTCCCTCTATGCTTCTTGGCCTTTCCCAGTTTCTCCTCCACCTCACTGGAAGGCATTAACTTGCTAAGGTGCTGTTTCTGGCAGGATTTAAAGTTGATGAAGGTGTGGACATCACCTTGCTTGTTCTTGCATGTCAGTGCCTTGACCTTGGGCCAGCAGGTAGTTTTCAACTATAGGGTCTTTGGGGGAAGCAAGTAATAAACAGGATGGGGCCCAGGCTCGGTCCTAGGGGAGATAGCGGACTCGAGTGGTGGGAATGACTCAACGTGGAGGAGCCCCCAAGGATGGGCAGGGCACTCGCACAGGGCCATGCTGATGGTTGATCCCATTCAAAGAAAGTGAACTAAGCTGCCTTCTGAAGAGAGTGGCTACAGTTTTGTTTTTCTAACCAGAAAGAACTGTAACTGTGGTACAATGCACACAACACAAAATTTAACCATCCACACTTTTTACATGTGTGGGGACTCTTATTTATTTAGAGCAGGTCATAGCTGCAGTGCCCTTGAGAAGATCCTCCAGAGAGGTGCGGTGGAGCCATCCTGGCAGCCATTCTCTCTCTGGGCCTCTGAAGAGGGTCCTGTTGGCAAATAACTGTCAACACATCTTTAAATGATCTTTCTTTGAAGAAACACCCTATTTTCAGCCAATGTGGGGTCCCCAGAGATGGGATACCTCAACAGGAAGCAGCTGAGAAACTGTCTTCATCCTGTCCATGGTGCCCCAGAGGGTCAGTGCCTATACAGCTTCTAGAAGGTCCACGCCTAGAACCGCTGAACCTCCTTCTCCATCTCTCCCTGCCTTGCTGAGATTCCCCAGACAAGGAATCTGGGTATCAAGGCCAGGGACTGAGCCCACAGAGAGCATATTACCTACCAGTTAGGAGAATGAGCAACCCTTGTACCAAGACAGCTCAGTGACTAAGGGACTGAAACTTGATTTCACGATGCACTGTGTATCCAGATCAGATCGAAGGATGATTATAAATAAGATAACTGGGTTTTACTGTAATTGGTAGTTTAAATTGTAGCAAACAGATGCTTGCAACTTAGACACTTGTGTTGTTAATGAAGGTTATTATTTCCCTCATTCATTTGCAGCCCAGCATGCATTTTTGAATGAGAGAGAAGTGTGTGCGCTCTAACAAGTGAGGAATGGCAGAGAATGATGGGCTTGTCCAGGGATGTGTGTTATGATATGCATTAGCCTGGATGTCACAGAAGGTGATGAAAGGTGTGACCAGTGCCCACATACCTGTACAACTGAGCAGAGGGACAGGAGATGTGAGCGGCAGCTTGCTCAACTCTGGAAGATGGTGGTATCATAGTTCCTTAGAAAGTGATAGAAAGAGTGGAAGGGAGAGGGAGAAGAGACAGATGAGAAGCAACAGGGGACAGGAAAGTGGAGCCAGGTACAAAATGGTGTTAAGAAATGACAGAGCCACCCTCGGGATGGGAGATGTGTGCTGAAAGTAGACTGTAGATCAAACACAATGTCCACTTAATACCTGTATTGCAAACCATAACACCCAAAAGGAGAGAGAAAGTAAAAGGGAATCCACCAGCTACAGAGGCAGGGGGGTAGGATGAGGTGGGGTGGGGGTGGGGTAGGGGAAGAGGGATACCAGGAACATTGGTGGTGGAGAACAGGCACTGGTGGAAAGATGGGTACTTGATCATTGTATGACTGAAACATAAGCATGAAAGTTTGTAGTCTGTAACTGTACCTCACGGTGATTCATTAAACAATAAAAAAAGAAAGAAATAAAAAGAAATGACAGAGCCAAATTTCCAAATCACAGATCAACATTGAAATCAAGAGACCCAGATTTTAACAACCAAACTTGGAAAGGTGCCCTCCTAGTATCATGCTAAGTGAAATGAGTCAGAAAGAGAGGGACAGACAGAAGGACTGCACTCATTTGTGAAGTATAAAACAACGTAACGTAAAGAGTGCTGCAATGAACAAACAAGTGCAGATGTCACTTCGACTATATATTTTTGCCTCTCTGGGATATATTCCCAGGAGTGGTATTGCTGGGTCAAATGGGAGCTCAATTTCTAATTTTTTGAGAATCGTCCATACTGTTTTCCAAAAGTGGTGGACCAGTCGGCATTCCCACCAGCAGTGAAGGAGGGTCCCTTTCTCGCCGCATCCACGCCAGCACCAGTTGCTTTTGTTCTTTTGAATGTGGGCCAGTCTCTGAGGTGTGAGATGGTATCTCATTGTGGTTTTGATCTGCATCTCCCTGATGATTAATGATGTAGAGCATTTTCTCATGTGCTTTTTTGCCATTCGGATTTCTTCTTTGAGAAAGTTTCTGTTCATTTTATTGCCCCATTTTTTGATGGGATTGGATGTTTTCTTCTTGTGGAGTTCAACCAGTATTTTGTGTATCCTCGATATTAATCCCTTGTCAGATGTATATTCGGCAAATATCCTTTCCCATTCTGTAGACTGGAAGAACCTGAATGCCCAAAAACAGATGACTGGTTAAAGAAACTTTGGTACATCTACACAATGGAGTACTATGTAGCTGTTAGAAAGATGACATCATGAAATTCACATACAAGTGGTACAACATGGAAAGTATCATGCTAAGCGAAATGAGTCAGAAAGAGAGGGATAGACATAGAAAGATTGCATTCATCTGGGGGATATAAAGTAACAAAGTATGAGATTAATACCCAAGAATAGCTGAGATCAGCACCAGGAGGATTACTCCATAGCTTAGAGGCCAGCCGGGCATTCTAGGGGAAAGGGCAGCTCAGATAGAGAAGGGAGCACCAAATAAAGTGTGTTTGGAGGATCCTCCCAGGAGGGGAGATGCATGTCGAAAGTAGACTATGGACTGAACATGTTTGCCACTCAATGCCTCTTTTGCAGACCACAACACTCAAAAGGAGAGAGAGAACACAAGGGATTGCCCTGCCACAGAGGCAGGGTGAGATGGGGGGGATGGGGGTGGGAGGGATATTATCCATGGTGGTGGAAAATGGGCACTGGTGGAGGGATGGGTATTTGATCATTGTATAATCGAAACCCAAGCACAAAAATTGTAAATCTACAACTGTACCTCATGTTGTTTCACTAATAATAAAAAACAATTTTAAAAAAGGAAAAAAAACCCAACATAACGTGAGACTGACACCTAAGGATAGTAGATACACAGGACAGGAAGGTTGCTCCGTAGCTGTAGGCTGCCTAATGAGCAACGGGGAGAAAACAGCCAGAGTAGAGAAGGGATCACTACTAAAATGATGGCTGGAGGAACTGGTCGGGATGGGAGATGTGTGCTGAAAATAGATATTGGACCAAACATGATAACCTCTCACTATCTGTATTGCAAACCATAATGCCCAAAAGTAGAGAGAGAATATGGGGAATATTGTCTACCATGGAAGCAGGGGAAGGGTGGGAAGGGGGACTATACTGGGGGACTATATTGGTGGTGGGGAATGTGCACTGTTGAAGGGATGAGTGTTTGATCATTGTGTGATTGTAAACCAAACATGAAAACTTGTAACTATCTATCACACGGCAATTCAATAAAATTAAAAAAAAAAGAAAGGTGCCTCCTAGAGGGCAGGCTGCAGGGGAGGGTGGGGGGTCAGGTATGGATGGGAACCTGAGAACATTGGTGGCAAGAAGCTAACACTAGCGGTGGTATTGGTGCTGCAATATTGCATATCTAAAACTCGACTATGAGTTACTTTGTAAATCATAGTGCTTTATTTTATTTTATTGATTTTTTTGGTCACACCCGGCGATACACAGGGGTTACTCTTGACTTATGCACTCAGGAATTACTCCTGGTGGTGCTCGGAGGACCATTTGGGATGCTGGGAATCGAACCCGGGTCAGCCACGTG